CGTTTGTACTTGGCTAGACGCGGCCTTGCGCCGCAAATCTGGTCTTTTTCTATTGGGGAAAGAGCTCAAGGCGGGCTGCGCAGCGCCCCTACCCTGCCTAACAATGTTGGTGCTGTTTGAAACGTCCGTGGGCTACGCCATCTTTAAGGTAGGTGGAAGATTGAGCCGTTGGAGGGGGAAGGCGGGTGTCGGGCAGGCAGAGAAACGGAGAGGCTTGAAGGGAGGATGGCACTGCTCGGGGTAGCACGGGTACCTTTCATGTTCCCTTGTTCTGAAAGGAAGAGGAAGGCTTTGGGCCTCGGAGGCGCACGTGTCGGCGAACACGTGGCCCTGCTTTTTGGGCTGCTGGGTTCTGGGTTAGGATTTGGCGCGATTATAGAGGTGGACAGAAGCCGTATTGGGATTTTATAAGTTATGAAGGGATTTTAGTCTGAGTGTTTTGAAGAGTGACTTAAAGGTTTTAAGGAGAGTAATGGTATACTTTGTCTTTAAATTATTACGGGAGGGCAGGAAAAGAAGCAAGGGCTTTTTTTTTTTTTTTTCATTAATCTAGACAAGATAAATAGGGTTTAAGGTTGATGTAAAGGTAAAACATCAGTAGAGACTTAAAGGTGGAACTGACAGGATTGGCTGATGTGTTGAATGTGGGGTTTTGGTTTAATAAGTGGGTGCGTGATGATCAGGAAGAGAAAAGAAACAGGTTCTTGGGTTTTTGAACGGGAGAAACTAAAGAGTTAACAGGTTGGTCCTGTGAACCTTGCATCATCTATTACACGTGGAAATGCAGTAGTCATTTCAAATTTGAAGCCTAGGGGAGCAATCTGGGCTGCTGGTAATCGAGTTGAGATCGGGTTGTTTTAATAGGGAAAGTTTGAAGTTAAGGCTTCAGCACAGGAATGACTGAACAGTGTGACATTCATATAGTGGGATGCTACTGAGAGGTTAGGAAGAATGAGGTGAATTGAGTGCAGCCTGCATGCCAGACACACTTCGGAGTTCTAGGAATACAGCAATAAAAAAATAAAATTTCACATATGCTGATATAAGGCCCCCAAAAGTTAGGTAAGATGTATAGTATGTTTCTAGTTGTCTGTCAGAAAACTATGATACAGGTGTAGAAAGTCTGAAAGGATACATACTGAAGTATTGATTTGGGAGAGGTCTTCACTCTCCAAATTTCTCTCTCTTTTATGCTTTTCATCTTTTTTAAAGGTTTTATTTATTCTTAGTGAGGGGGAAGAGAGGGAGAAAAACATCAGTGTGTGGTTGCCTCTCACGTACCCGCAACTGAGGACCTGGCCCACAACCCAGGCATGTGCCTTGGCTGGTAATTAAACCTGCGACCCTTTCGTTGTAGTCTGGGCGCTCAGTCCATTGAGCTACACCAGCCAGGGCCCAAATTTCTCTTCCGATATTTGAAAGTATACTTCTGTTTGCACTTACTACATTAAATACTTGTTATTTTTAAGAAAACCGATAAAATAACAATTAAAAAACAAAAGCTGGCTTTGCTCATTTTTCCTCATTGGAGTTGCCTGTAATTGCAGCAATACTCACTCTTGGTTTAAGTGATACTAACAGAATGTCTTGAAGGCAAGTTGGTAACATCCGTCAACATAAAATATGCATATTCTGTGTGATCAATCAAGTCCATTTCCAGTAGTTCTATAGAAGTGCAACATGTGTGCATACAAAAAAGTGTTTTCTGAAGGATAAGGAAAATTTGGAAATGACCTAAATATGTATTAAGAAAAACATAAATGATGGTGTATTGATACACCACAATTCTAGGTTGTTAAAACCTGGAATTGTACATCTATGATATGCTAAGTATACAGTAGGATAACTAAAAGTACACGTAAATAAAATGTCACGATCAAAAAAGTTTTGAAGAATATATTGCTAAATGTTAATGACTTTTGTAGATTTAAAGTACCCCTTTTTTCCTTTGCATTTTAAATTTTCTTATGTCAGGATGTCTTGGAATTGATGGTGCCTTAGTTTTAGAGCAATCAGTACTTTCATGTTAGGTTGATTATAGCAGTAAATAACAAAACTTATTCTATAGAAAGTTGTTAATTGATCATATAGGATATGCATACTTCACGTTGACAGATGCTACCAAATTGCCTTCAAGAGAGTCTCTTAGTTAAATCAAGAGTGAGTAAAAGTTATTTCTGGATACCCTCACCAATACTCAATGTGATAAGTCAGCTGCTCAAGTGCAAGATAGGAAAGGATCAATCGTAATATGCATTTTCCCCCATGTTTAGCATCCCTGAAATTGGGATGTCTTACAAATTGATGGTAGGTTATTTTAATTGGTAGTATAAAATAATGGCATATTTAAAGGATTCTTTAAAAAATTTTTTTTTAATTTATTTTTAGAAGGGAAGAGGGAGAGAAATATCAGTGTATGGTTGCTTCTCATGTGTGCCCTGCTGGGAACTAGCCTGCAACCCAGGCATGTGCCCTGACTGGAAATCGAACTGTGATCTTTTGGTCCACAGGCCCATGTTCAATCCACTGAGCTACACCAGCCAGGGCATATTTAAAGGATTCTAAATGCCTTTTGGAGGAGTTAAGAGGTCCTTTAAATAGAAAGTTTTCTGTAAAGACACCCCCCACACACACACACACACACAAAATAATAAGATCTGAATTCCATCTAGTTATTAAAGGTGCTATTTGAGCTACTAATTTGACCCAAAATTTATGCTGGTGAAGCAACTGGTTCATTATTTCAGAGAGAAAAAAAAATAGCTCCCACCACCCTTATTTTACATGTACAGTTAGTTGTACTCGAAGAGTATAAGCCATATATGCTTGCCTAGGCTGTGGTGTTTAAAGAAAATTATTCATCTATTTATTACAGGTTTTGAATGAGAAGAAACTTCAAGAAGTTGATAGTTTGTGGAAAGAATTTGAAACTCCAGAAAAAGCAAATAAAATGTAAGTCATTTTAAGACTAAGAACTTAGCAGTTCACATTTAGGGGATCTTTTTACATTTCCTCCCATTCCTCTTCACATATATTACATTCATAACATTTTTTTAAAATCCTCATCCAAAGAAATGTTTGTTGATTTAGAGAGAGGAACATCAATTTGTTGAGTCCTGTTGTTCCCTTACTAGGGGATTAAATCCACAATCTAGGTATGCGCCCTGATTGTGAATCAAACCTGCAACCTTTTGGTGTACAGGACGGTGCTCCAGCTAACTGAACTACCTGGCCAGGGCTATATTTATAACTTTTGTTTTGAAATGTATTTCGGTGATAATGTTGGTTTGAGTCTAATCATTAGATTTCCTTATTTGAAGCATAGGTCATCAGTACTAAGTCGTATACCTGCAGACTAGTTTGAGTAGAAACACAAAATAACTGTTTCATAAGGTAATTTGAAAACACAGGCAGCTAAAGAGCTTCCCAGACCTAAAAAAACCCCTAAAGGATAACAAATAATAAGCTGTTATATGAAATGTTAACGGGATTTATTTAAAAGAAAAAGACCAAAACTATGAACAACAAAATGGCAATTAAGTACATATCTATCAACAACCGAATTAAAAAAAAACAAACAAAGCAAGCAAGCAAGAGCAGATAGAATTGTAGATATGGATCACCTTTTGAAATAGCCCATTTGGTGGTGAACGTGATCCTAGCAAGGACTTAACTGATCTCTTGACAAGTACGGATTTGGATTATGTCCTTGGGTACTAAGGGGCATTTAATAATTCTTCTGCTAGTGCTAAGAAAAACTTACAAAAATAGAAGGAAACTTAAAGCTTGCCGAAGAGTATTGAACCCAAAGAAATGTCATACTAAATAGAGAAGCCAAATACATAGTTTGAAATTCGTGGTGAAAACCTAAAATTTGAAATAAATGTCTATCAGTAGTGTAATTGTTGAACAAATTTTAGTATATTTGTAGATCTCTAACAGATCTGGAAAGAGGTTCATGATATACTGAGAAAATCATGCTTCAGATTTTGTATAACGCGTTCCCATTTTCGCCGTGTTCTTGTGCATCCTGCAGTTATGCACACACAGATACAAACAAATGCCACTTCAGAAGAGTGCAAATGGAGGTGTGGTGAGGCAGAATAGATGAAATTATTATTATTTTTTCCTTAAATCATTATATTGTTGAGTGTGTAAGGTAGGAAAACCTCGATTAAGATCATACTGTTTTAGACATGATGGCAGACTAGTTTTCTCTTTTTAAAGGGGTATATTTTTTAATTGACTGGGTTAACTTGATTCATTGTTGTCAATGATGTATTCTTGTTGGGACTGAATTTCAGTGATCTCACTCAAGTATTCGTCACTACCACTGAGACAACAATGAATTGTTTCCATATAAAATTATGTTACTCTGTACATAAATAAGTGTATGGGGAAGAAGAGGAATCCGATCTGACAATAAACTTGTTTAATAGCGTTTTTACTGGATGGACAAATCAGTGCCATGAGATTGCTGACCTAAGACAAGACAGATGCTTACACCTTTTCTTAGGCCATTTGTATGCTTTACAGTAAAAGGCACCTGTGTCTAGCTTTAAGTAGCAGAGATTATGTGGAAGCTTCTGCATATTTCCTGTGGTTTAAATTCATAGAACAAACCTTTTGGCTGTTCTATGTTCCCTCCAAAGCCTACAGCTTTCTCTATAATAGTCCATAGAGAACTGGTCATTTGGAGAAGAATATCTACCTTTGTACCCTGATATCTACTGATAGGAATTTTTTCCTATCAGTCTATGCTTTTAAACAGTCTGACACTTCTTTTCCTAAATATGTGGCTTTTGCAGAAATCAGTGTGCCCCCATAACATTTTTTCTTTCTTAATTCTAGAGTTAAGCTAAAACATTTTGAGAAATTTCAGGACACAGCAGAAGCATTGGCAGGTAAAGTCAAAGACAAGCTTTTTTGTTTCTGTTTTTAATCTTGGCTATTTGTTGTCCTTATTTTAAAAATTGCTTCAGTTGCCTGAGTTAACCTTACTCAATGTTGTCAATGATGCATTGTTTTTGGAAATGAATTTAAGTGATCTGACAAATCCGTCACTACCACTGAGACAACATTGAGTTAGCTTTTTTCACCATAGGGCTGGTTATTCCCCCCATGCGATGAGAGCTGAGAAGTGGGTAAATTGATCTCCCTGTGGAAACCAACAGCATAATGCAAAAGCACAATTCAGTTAAAGCTGTTCTACAAGGGACCCAGGTAATGTGGTCAAGCACAGAGCTCTGATCATTTTAATACAAGGGAAAAGTTGAGAATAGCCAGGAATCACTGTTGAAATAATAAAACAGTTCTCCAGGGATATACATTTTTGTTTGAAAAAGCACATTATTAAAAGTTTTAGAGCCATGACTGGTGTGGCTCAGTGGGTTGGGCATCATCCTGCAAACAGAAATGTCCCCAGTTGTGGGCCATATCCCTGCGTGCAGGTGTGTGGCAGGCAACCGATCGATGTTTCTCTCCCTCTCTTCTCATCTCTCTGGAATAAATAAATAAACTTAAAAAGTGAAAGTTTTAGGAAAACTAGTACTTCTAGTTTTGTGTGCATTTTAATATGATGAAAACGAAGGCATAAGAGTTATCTTAAAAGGGTGTTGTTTTACATGATTTAGAAGAATGGATGACATTCTTCAATTAGCCCTCATGATAGGACCGCAGACAAACAGTAATAGGGTTTATTAATTTGGCTTGGCTTCAATAGGCGGTTTTTTGTTTTAATCTTTATTGAAGGATATGTTTATTGATTTTTAGAGCAGGGGGAAAAGAGAGATATGAGAGATATGAGAAAGCAATCAATTGGTTGCTTTTCTGTATGTGCCCTGACCTGGAATTGAACCCACAGCCTTCTGGTTATGGGCTACTGCTCCAACCAACTGAACCACCTGGCCAGAGCTTTTGAGGGATTTTGGTATGTTGTGTGTGTTAAATGTGCTTTTAGAGAGGGAGAGAAACATGCAGTGTGTGGTTGCCTCCCCCACACCCCCTACTGGGGGTCCACAACCCAGGCATGTGCCCTGACTGGGAATCAAACTGGTGACCCTTGGGTTCACAGGCTAGCACTCAATCCACTGAGCCATACTAGCCAGGGCTTTTTAAAAAGATTTTTTAATGTTAGGGAAACAAGACCAGATATAAAGCCCTAGTCTTGAATTTTTCAGTTGCTTAAATTTTCAAGTCAGCCAACTACTTGGTGATATAATTTGAAAATGAAGGGCCATAAGGAAGAATATGGCTTAAAATTAGGCAAGAAATTGATAGACCCAAATAATTTTGTTCATCAGCCACAAGAGAAGGGTATAGTTCTCTTGTGAAAATTAGGAATCCAACTAAATATACTGGATATTAATGGGCTATCCCAATCTTGGCAGAGGGGTATGCCAAAGGAAGACCCAACAGTGGGGCTAATTTTATTGTTTATTTTCTCATTACCACTTAGTCCCCTTTATAACCCCAGCCATCTCATCCCCCTCCCCTACCCAGCAATCAATTTTTTAATTTTTAAAAATAGTTCTAGGGCTGCTGTTTTGGTAATGAAAGCCTCATAGCACTGTAAAGCACACCTGTGGTCATTGTTTTGCCTGGGGGGTTTCTTTAAAGATACTTCTGTTCATCACAGCTTTAAAATTAAATATGGGTAGAATTTTGGTAATATCCCAAACAAGATTGTGTTAGCTATTCTCCAGTTCTGGGGTGAGTGCATTATTCACATCGACTGATTTGTATAGCACCTCCTGGAGTTGTAAAGTATTCTAGCCCTGATCCCAAGTAGCCTATTTAGCATTTCTTTCTGCGTATAACTTCTTCAATCTTTTCAGGATATTTCTGACCAGTCCTTAATAAACTATTAAGTGAAAAAGTCTAACCTCTCCCCAAACATGAAGCAAGTTTTTAATATAGCTAATATTTATTATATAGTGATTGTCAGATTTTGCAATCGTTGTTCCAAAATCTTAGAACAATCTTGTAAGGTAGGTAATGCCACTATTTTACACATAAAACTGAGGCGTGGGAGGTATCACATTTCTCTACCAAGTATATAATGTTATAACATAGGTAGGGGAAATGCCGTACTAGGTGAGAACCTTCTTACCCTCCCCCTAATCTAAGTTCCATGAGTGTAAAGACTATGTTGTTTACTGTCAAATTCCTAGATTCTGGCACATAAATATTTTGGGGTGAATGAATACAAGTAGAGCTCTGTCAGGAATCTGGTTGTAGAAACCTCTACAATCAATGCCTTTTCCCATCTATTTTTTAAAGATTTTATTATTTGTTTTTAGAGAGAGGGGAAGGGAGGTAGAGAGAGGGGGAGAAACATCCATGTGTGGTTGCCTCTCATGTGGCCCCCATTAATTAGGGACTTGGCCCGGCCCGCAACCCAGGCATGTGCCCTGACTGGGAATCAAACCAGCCACTCTTTGGTTCGCAGCCACTGAGAATCAATCCACTGAGCTACACCAGTCAGGGCTCCTGTCTATTTTTATCAGAAATTTAAACATTGGCTTATTACTAAGAGAGCAGAGTCCTTCCTGAGAATTCAACTTCCAATTGCCTATTACAAGGCAGTTTACTGTTACAGACCAAAATTCAGTGGTTATAGATGTCAGTGTGCATTAAAAAAACCTGTAGCCTAAGAAAGAATCTGATGGGGTGTGATTTTGATTTATATTGGTCTCAGAAGTTCAGATTTGCCATTTGCATGAAGTTTACTTTTACTATTGGTCCAGTTTTCAAGATGCAAGTCTTCTGAATAGTCACAGTAAACTTTGGGCCAGCACACTTTCAGATGAAGTGAGAAAACTGCTCTGGAATGAGGAACAGTGGCCAGTAGTAGGAAAGAGAAGTAGGGGAAAGATTCAGCTTCCCCTCTGTGTCACCATCTATATATCACCTTTTAAAAGTACATGTTATGGACAGTAGTGAACATATTTTTTGATAAAGTGAAGACAAATGTAAATGTTATAGTAGATCTAGAGTAGAAAGTTTACTTTTTAAAAAGGGTTTTATTTATTTTTAGATGGGGGGAAGAGAGGGAGAGAAACTGATCAGTTGCTTGTCATTCATACTCCTATTGGGGACCAAACCGCTACCCAGGCATGAGCCCTGACTGGGGATGGAACGGGACAACAGATGACGCCCAGCCAACTTACCCACACTGGTCATGGCGAAAGTTTTACTTTTAAGAGATTATAAAGTGCAAAAGAAAACATGGGAAATTGAGAACTAGGAGCAGGAATTTGAATAAAAGTTTTTAATTATGAAAGATAAAGGAAAGAATACAACTTTTATTAGAAAGGTAGATAATTAAGGAGTCAGTGTTGTACAAAATATAAAAATAAATTGAATCTTATTTTCTTAGAATGTAGAGAACTCTGAAAGAGTTGTGTGGTAGCCAAGTGTTATTATCTTAGTCTTTCATCTTCCTAGATAACAGATGAAATTGACTTGTAATTCATTTTCCACAAGAGATGTGGTCAGGAGGGAAGAGCAAGTATGTGGCTGACTAAATGCTTGGCCTTAGACATTATAACCGACTTCCTTTCTGACAGGCTTACTTTAAATCCAACTACGATCCAGACAAATACCAGGAGAGGTGTTCATGTGGGTCCAGAAGAAGTAAGCGTAGGTCTAAGGAGGGGTGAGAGTTAGAAAAGTAGCAGGTTTAAATAGAGCTTAACCTAAAGTGAAAGCTGTTCTAAAATTGAACAGGCTGCCTTCATAATAAGTTCTCTATCATTGAAGGTTTATAAGCATTGGCCTGATGATACCTGTGGATTGGGTATTAGCAAAGATTAGATCCCACTCAAATATACTTACATAGCAACAGAACCTTCAAAATGAATACACTCCTTTATTTTTTTAAATTTTTTATTTATTTTTATCAGAGTCTTGACAGGATTTTAGGGTATTTCACAATCCAGAGCATCAGGCCAATTTGTTGTAATATAGGAGAGAGAATCTATTTGTCATTCCAAAGTAGAATGTTTCAGACATGGTTCTGGGTCTGAGTTCAAAAGAAGATTCGTGTAGCATAGGCAAAGGAAGGCTGGATCTGGTGTAACTCCTGGTTCTGGGATAGAAATGAGGGAGGCAAGATCAGATGAGGTTGTGAAATGCGTAACTTGTAAATAATTTTATGTCTATCATTTTATTTTAGAAGTAATGTTAAACTTAGCTCTTTTGAAAGGAAGTGTTTATTTTGCTTTATTTTTTTTAACTTAAATAAGATATTAAGCTCTTACAATTAAAAAATTGAGAGAGAACTCTTGTTTTTCTTTTTCCTGAAAAGCATTCACAGCCCTGATGGAGGGCAAAATCAACAAGCAACTGAAGAAACTTCTGAAGAAAATAGTAAAAGAAGCCCATGAACCCCTGGCTGTAGCTGATGCTAAACTAGGAGGGGTCATAAAGGTAAGGTTACGATTTTTTTTTCATGCTTGCTGATCAGAAGTCACTATGAGCATAGTGACTACAAAGCCGAGTCTTTGCTTGTTGAGAGTTCTCATACTTGACCTTTTTCCCTAGGCTATATAATAATTATTTCCGATATGATTATCAAGACTAAGCATATACATTCATTGTAAATACAAATATGCCACCCTAGCTGGGTAGTTCTTTTGGTCACAGCATCATCCCAATATTCCAAGGTTGTTGGTTCAATCCCCGGTCAGGGCACATACAAGAATCAACCAGTGAACACATAAATAAATGTACTATAACAACAAATCACTGTTTCTTTCTCTCTCTTATTCTCATTAACAAATTAAAAAAAATAAAGTAAAAAAATACAAATGTACCAAAAACTGATTCTAAAAAATAGTTTTAAGCCCTGGCTGGTGTAGCTCAATGGATTGAGTATGGGCCTTTGAACCAAAGGATTGCAGTTCAATTCCCAGTCAGGGCACGTGCCTGGGTTTCAGGTCAGTTCCCAGCAGGGGGCACATGAGAGGCAACCATACATTGATATTTCTCTCCCTCTCTCCTTCCCTTCCCCTCTAAAGATAAATAAATAAAACCTTTAAAAAAAATAGTTTCAACCCTGCCAGCCAGAGGTAGTCTGTTAA